GCCGTGGTTCAGAAAGCGACCGTGTCGTAAGGTCGAATCGGGGATGCGGGAAATCGAGGCTCCGGGAGGTCCCTAGTTCGCCTGCTGGCGAACTAAGCCGGGCTGGCTTAGATCGCCAGCAGGCGATCTAGCCAAGGGTTGTCTAGATCGCCTGCTGGCGATCTAAACCGAGCTGGCTTAGATCGCCAGCAGGCGATCTAGTCGAGGGAGTGTAGTTCGCCTGCTGGCGATCTAAGCCGAGCTGGCTTAGATCGCCAGCAGGCGATCTAGTCGAGCGAGTGTAGATCGCCTGCTGGCGATCTAAGCCGAGCTGGCTTAGATCGCCAGCAGGCGATCTAGTCGAGGGAGTGTAGTTCTCCTGCTGGCGATCTAAGCCAGCTCGGCTTAGTTCGCCAGCAGGCGAACTAGTCGTGACTAGTTCGCGTTCTGCGGCGGTTTCGGTTTTTCGCGGTTTTGTAAAACGAGTTCTCGAGTTTTATAAAACGATCTTTGGGTTTTATAAAACGATCTTCGAGTTTTTATAAAATGATCTCTCCAGTTTTATAAAACGATCTTCGAGTTTTTATAAAACGATCTCTTGAGTTTTATAAAACGATCTTCGAGTTTTATAAAACGATCTTCGAGTTTTTATAAAACGATCTCTCGAGTTTTATAAAACGATCTTCGAGTTTTATAAAATGACCTTCGAGTTTTTATAAAACGATCTCTCGAGTTTTATAAAACGATTTCTCGAGTTTTATAAAACGATCTTCGAGTTTTTATAAAATGATCTCTCGAGTTTTATAAAACGATCTTCGAGTTTTTATAAAACGATTCTCGAGCCTTACAAAACGATTCTCGAGCTTTATAAATCGATCTTTCGAGATGCATAAAACTGCTGCGTTTACGCGTTTGCGGGGAATTTTGGCTATTGATTCCGTCGTACCGATTTTGACCCCAACAAGGAGGCAGGAACTTCCGGCATCGAACACCCGCATGTCGATCCTCTCATCATCGACCTAGTCGTATGCGATTTAGAGGTCGCATAATCCTTGTTGATACAAGAAGCACCGTCAACTTGATCTTCCGCTACACTTTGACAGGAATGGAATCGGACTAATGAAGTCAACAACCAAAACTCTCTGCAAAGTTAAGAATGGGTTTATAAAACACAAAAAACGTCGAGGAGAATTCTAAAGACTTTCCGAACAAAGAACTCCGCAAACTTAGCAATCATCATTCTGGAAATCATCGGCAAATCGAACGCAACAACCCACAGTTTTCCAACCAGCCAAATTAGCAAGATCGGCCGTAATGACCGATTCATCAAAACGGCAAGGATGAACCATCTCGTCCAGCTCCCCAAGCCGGTGAGCTGGTCGTCCTAAATCAGCTGGCCGGTTTGGCGAGCTGATCTATCTCGCCAAGCCGGCGAACTGATCCATCTCGCCAAGCCAGCGAGTTGGTCGTCCCGAACCAGCTGGCCGGTTTGGTGGGCTGAACCATCTAGTCCAGCTCGCCAAGCCGGCGAGTTGGTTGTCCCGAACCAGCTTGCCGTCTTGGTGAGCTGAACCACACCGTCCAGGTCGCTGGACCGGCGAGTTGACCATCCCAAACCTTTCCCTCTGCATTGTCCGGGCACAATGCATACATCCCTTGACTCGATCGTACTCCGAAACTTGATTGGAATGTCTCTCGTTTCATTTCGATCCGTCTTATCATTGGAGTTTACGATAAAAACCGCTAAAGACTTGTTTTCTCGTAAAAATTCGAGTAAATCGTATAAAACGAAAAGGTTAGAAAAAACACCAAACATTACCAAACTATACGGTTGACTCGAGATGTTTTATAAAAACGGCATCAGATCGTTAAACGATCCCGTTTAAAATCGTAAAACAGTGAAAGCGCAAAATGGCTCGAAAGGTCCTACAACGCGGTAAAGGCCCACTTGCGACTTTAGACGGAGACCAACGCAAAAATACAATGATGGTTTATCCGTTTATGTGCAGGAAGAAGATAAATGTCAAGTTTGGAGGAAAATGGAAGTTTTCCAAGATAAAAATGGAGATCGAGAGAAATGGAAGATTTCCGAAGAATCCGAATCAAGGCGGAAAAAGAAAGACTTAACCACCTGGAGGAGGAGTATATAAGTATAAGGCCGAGGCCAAGAATGACACACGATTTTCAGAGCTCTCATCTCAGAGAAAAACTTAGCACTTAGGACAAATAGGCAACTTTCCATTTTTGTTATCGAGCTGTGTTTCAACTAGGGTTTTAGTCTTAGGTTGCTAAAACTAGGGAAATCACCATCAGATCTTGTGGCCAAGGCTTTACCTCGTTGTACTGCTGTTATGCAAAATCGAAATAAGAAATCTCATTTCTCTCTTTTCGATTCTCATATTGTCTTTTTTGTTGTTTTCGTATTTTGATTGCTTGGCGTGTGGTTTAGCAGATATCCGGGACCTCTGGGAAATTAGGGTTTTCCCTAAGTTCCTTAATTTACGGAAATCGACGGTGTGAATTTTGGTTCCTACACCTAGTTGAGTCGCACCTCGAAATAACTAAAACGGAAAGTTGCCTAAATGCTCTAAGTGCTAAGTTTTCTCTCCAAAAAGTCCTTTTTCTGCTTCTCGCCAAGTGCTCCTTATATACTCCCTCCAAGGTTGGTTTAAAATTTCCCAAAGTACCCTTTGGCCGATTTAAGCATCCTTTGGAAATATTCCATTTTTCTCGATCTTCATAATTATCTGCGGAAACTTGATTTAAAGTTTATATACTTTTGCGGATATAATGTAAATTTTCGTAATGCTGACAGGATTTTGTCGAATAAAAATAGTAAGTGGGTTCTTAGTCTCATTTTAGACCTCTTCGGGCCATCCTTTGGACTTATAACGTTTACTACGATTTTTAAATGAGTTATCATAATTTTTATTGTAAAGTCTTGACGATAATCGTATTTAGGATTTGAACAAGGGTCAGTATAGCTGTGGTTCATCAGAGGTTGTATCGAGGTTTAGACAAGAATGCATGAATTGGTGTTGTACCGAGATTTCCAGGTTTGATTGATGTTCCGCAATGGTCCACTCGACAATCGTCGAGTGGCTCGTTCGAGCTGACCACTCGATGATCGTTGAGTGGTTTGGTTAGACCAGCCACTCGACGATCATCGAGTGTTTTGCTTGGTCGGACCACTTGACGATCGTCGAGTGGTTTGCTTAGACCATCGACTCGACGATCGTCGAGTGGTTCGGTACTTCGATGGTTTGTTTACTTAGGTTCTATGGATACTTGTTTCGTAAAAATTTCGTGTTGGTAATTTTTACGAAAGTTATATTTTTTTTAACTATCTTTTCGAAAACATAACTTCTAAGGATTTTCAGATGTTAATTCCGTTGTGACCTTTTTTTATCCCAACAGTTAGCCCCTCAGCTCGTTAGGACTATGCATCGTAGGGTACTAGCTTGCGGTTAGGCATGTTTGGCAAGTTTAGGTGAGTTGGGTGGAATTAACACCCAAAATTCCAAAGTTGAATAGTGAATTTTTGTGTCTATAAGTAGATGAGGTAATTTTTCTCAAACCGCACACCTCTCATTTTCACAAAGGTTCTTTTGAAAGAAAATTCAAAAGATGTCAAAAAGTTTTTTTCTCAAACCCCACACTTCTCCTTCTTTTTTTTTAGAAGTTTCAAAAAGTTTCAGAGAGATGTCATCCAGGAAGAAAGTTTCTCGGAAATCTACCCCGCGTAGCTCTACCTCTGAGGACGTTTGTGATGATGATCTTCTTGTTCCGAAGGCTGAGTTCGAGCCCCAGTCGATCAGTCCCGCAGAAAATGAAGCGTACTGGATCGCACGATGTGGCCTGATCACTCGTCCTCCTGAGGTCCCTTATCTTAACAAGCTGCACCAAGTAGTTGACCACAACTTGCTGAATAGGAGTACACACTCGATCCTGAAGGTTGTTCGAGAGTTTGCTCGTGTTCCTGATGAGGTGGAGTTCTGAATCCTTCGTGAGGACGAGACTGCAGAGAGTCCTCTGATGGTTATTTCATGTGCTATGAGGCATTTCTACTGCGTTGCCGCTTATGGTTTCCCATCCCGGCGATCATTGTCCACGTTCTAGAAAGTTTTGAGATATCGATAAGTCAACTAAGTCTTGGCGGTTTGGAACACCTTATCGGTTTGGTGGTTCTCTGCTAAGAGCACGGTGTTACTCTCACCGTCGACCACTTCGAGGCCTTCATACGTTTGTAGTATATCTCAGGGTCCATGTTTCGTCTAACTCCCCGTCCTTTCATGACGTTGATCAAGAAGACCACTCTCCATGGTCATACATGGATGAAGTGTTTCTTTTTCGTTCGCATAAATGCAGCATCCGTCAAGGAAAGGTGCATTCCAGTATTTCAAAGCGATTTCAACCAGCGTCCATTTATCAACCCTTTACATCCGTTTACTAGTGATACCATGACAATGCGAGATCTCCTTCGGAACGGTCTGTTTTACTGGGCGTTTTTTACGCCACAGAGGGTTCGTAGAGCGCTGACACTTCATCATGCTGGCCCCGGTGTTCAAGTAGCCAAAGAAACATGATTCGGATTCGGACGCCTCCGTCCCTCTTGTCACTCCGAGGAAAGGAAAAGCCAAGCAATCAAAGGACAAGGCCATTGATCTTGAAGATTTTGACTTTTCCGCGGATGACTTCGTGCTACCTGGATGGGGCCCGAGTATTCCTTATGGAGATGGGAGTGGTGCGAGTGAGGCTCCTTTCCCTAACGTTGATTTTGATGAGTTGCTTGCCAGCCTCCCTACGAATTTCGACCTAGCTCCGCCGGTATATATACCGGAGATATCCGAGGTTGTTGCGGAGGGATCACGTTTAATAACGGGGTTAGTTTTGATTCACCCTTATACTTGATTGTTGTTTTTTCAGGATTCTTACGATGACTTTTCTGTTAGGGAGTGAACATGATCAGCTCTGCCTTTGAGGGCAGGACTCGTGAGGCGATGGTCTACCGTTTAAAAGCGGAGAAGGCTGAAAAATGCTCGCACGCGTTCAGAATGAGTCTCCGGAACGTGAACTTAAGTCGGTCCATGATCATTCCAGAGCCGTTCGTAGAGCGGAGAGACGGGGTAGGAGAGAGGTTGCTGCTGTGATGGTGAACCGTGCTTCCAGATTTGAGGTCGAGTTTGGCTGTTTTACGGAGGTGCATTCCATGTGGGGTGATTTTTGCGAGTGTCGAGGTTCCGTTGGGTCGTTGAAGAAGACACAAACATATGACTTTGACTTTGATCACGAGATGTCGATCATGTATGGTGGTATGAACGACTATGCTCATGTTGAGAACCTGATCTCTCCGATCGAAGTAAAGCTCTGTGGATTTTGGGACCCAGTTCCAGTCTCACCTGATACGGAGGAGGTTCCGATCGACATTGCAGGTGAGGATGAAGAAGTGGATCATCCGTTTGGAGCTTCCATGTCTGGAAACTTTGTTTTCAATCCTTGAAGGTTTAAGCGGTGTTTTATTTTTCTCTCTTTTATCTTGTGTTATGGCCATGTATGGCCGTTGTTATCTGTTTCCGGCTGAGTGTGGCCTTTATTTATGTTTGGATTTCGTGTGGGCCTAGATGGCCGTGTTTGTATTTACTGGGACTGGCCGTTGGTGGCTTTGAATCCCTTACCGCTTTGGCGGGTTTATATATTATGAGTGTTTGAAGATTTTAATTTACGTATGTGTTTTAATTGCCGAGAGAAAAGAATATGAGTTGTAATCTCATACCTAAATCTAAGTGAAGCGTTTTTCGTTAGTTCGTTAAGGGCGCAGAATTTTATGAACGTTTAGAAACAAATGGCGAGACATGGTCTTAAGATATCGTATCAATTTTTAGATATCATGCCTTGAGATGTTAGAGACAAGAGCGTTGGGTTTAGGCAAAGACCTAGGTTTGCTCCTAGATTTAGTGGGTGCGATGACTACTTCGACTTACGTATCCCGGTATCCCATTTCAGTTTCATCCTGATTCCAGACCGTTTTAAAGTCCGCGATATGTTCTCGGCTTATGCGACTTGTCTGGTTTGGAATCGAGCATCTCTTCAAGGGAAATTTCTAAGCCTCCCGGAAGTGCTGACAAAAATTTCGGATTTCTTTTATAGCGCTATAATCCTTGTGTTGGATGTTTGAGGACCAATTCTTCTTGATATAAAGGTCAAGATGTGTTTGTTTAAGACGGCGAATGTGCTTGACGGGGCTAATTGTCGTACTTGATGTAAATGACTTAGAAGATTATTTTTTATAGTCGCGTCTAGACTGTTTTTCGTTTTCGGACGAGTTATCCTGAGATTTTTATGCGACGTCTCGCCCAATCTCGGATTTTCGTTTTAAAGAGGTATGTTTATTTTTGACTAAGTAATGCGATTTTGAGTATAGTTGAAAGTCTAAAACTATCCTTTTTTAAAATAAAAAGAAAAAAATTTTCTATTTTATTATTATTGAAAATATAAAGTGCAATGATGCGAAAGTTTAAAAAATGCGGACGTATAAAAAATGCGGAAGTAGAAGCGAATGCGTATACGTTCCCACTCCTCCCTTTTTTGGGAGGGGGCTAGCTGAACTCATTTTTAGGCGAGCTGCCTACGTACCTTTTCCGAGGATCAACCCATCTCGTAGTTCTGTTTTTGCCGTGATTATGTTTACTCATGTTTGGCTGTCGCGTAAACCATTTCAGTCGTGATGACTGTAGATGGATCGGCAGCTTTTTTCGGGTTTGTCTCCTCTGGTTGGGTGAAGGTGTCAGGAGTAACATCCTGCTGTTTCAGATCCGTTGCCAGTGGTTATGTTGCATCGTCCTTCCTCTAAGTGCTCTGAGGCAGATGCTGAGTTATTTTTGCTCGCTTAGGTTTTGCGGTTTCCGTGATTTTTCTCAGCTTATGTTCAGCGAGAAAACAGAGCCGCGATTGCTTCTGGCAGCCCTAGATTGAGGCAATTCCGTGTTGAGTCGGGAATTTGATAACTAGATGATAAGTACTTGGAACTGCCTTCATGGCGTTGAGCCAAGGGGTCCCTACGATAACGTTGTAGATAGCCGAAATATCAACCACTGCAAAGTCGACGATCTTTGTCACTTCCTTCGCCATGACTGGAAGCTTAATTGACCCAAGGGTCATTAACGTCTTACCCAAAAATCCAGTCAATGGTTTTGGAATTGGTACAACTTTTCTGAGCTCTATGCTCATCCTCTTAAGGGTGTTGCGAAATAGGACGTTCACCGTGCTTCCAGTGTCGACGAGGAACCTGGCAACTTCTAGGTCGCGGATGACAAGGTCTATGACCAGTGGATCGCAATGAGGTTGATCTATCCCGCCGGCTTCCTTATCTTTGAAGGTGATCGTATGGTTCTAGACGTCTTGGGGCGGAGACCAGGTTTCCGTCGTCGGGAGTCTGCAACACGTTTCCGTCGTCATTCGTCATATCGGATCGAGCGTGTTGTGGCTGTGAGGTAGATTGATCCGTAACTCGCCCCCGCTCCTTCTAGCGCCAAACTGTGGGAACCAAAATTTACACTGTCGATTTCCGTTTAAATAAAGAAACTAGGAAAATCCTAATTTTCTAGAAGTCTTGCATTTCTGCTAAACCACACGCCAAGCAATCAGAATACGAAAAACAATGATCGACCATGGATTTTACCCACCTTTAGCCATGGTTTATTGGTGTTTTATGTATATTTACTACAATATAGAATCTATTTAGAGTATTTACAGGTTCATGTACGTTCTAGAGAAATATGGTGATTTTGGTGTCTTTTGGAGCCTTTATATGCAGAACTGCACAGACACGTCAGATGTTTAGATCTGAATGGAGACCTTCCCATAGTGCGATTGAGCTGATCGTTTAAAACAAGATAGAGGTTTGAGTTAGCTTTCAAATGCCACCGATTTGGGGTCAATCCAACGGTTAGATCATAAGTTATGCTCATTTTACTGAAGAGTGGTCAGTCTGCCTCGCGAGAAAAGGCTGTCGAGAAGAGGAATGTATATCGATCGATGGGAAAACCTTCATATCGATCGATATGAATGCCAGAATGCGGGCCTAGTATATTTCATGACCAACTGAAGCCCCAAAGAAACCTAAATTACCAGAATGCCCTTGGACGACCAGAAATCCTATTTATGTTCTTAGTTAGAGAGTTGGAGAGAAGATCAAATCTCCTTCAGAGATTGATTGGAACTCCATTGGAATTATCTTTAATCTCTTATTCTATTATTATTCAGACTAGGATCTGTGTTTCTTCTATCATGTTTGAGTAGTTCATCCTGTTAGGTTTAGGGATTTCATGAGCTTAATGTTAAACTGAATACCAATTAGGATTGCTAGAATATCTTTAGATCTCTACACCAGGGTGATTTGTAATACTAGGATCTGGAGTAATTAGGATATCATGAAAGTGTGACTGATTGCTTGAACCTAGAATCATAGGACAATTGAGATGCACTAGAGTGCAGTCAATTAACGGAACCCGAATCCTGCTGGCACATATGAGAATTGGTCTAGGAATCTAGTTGAACATAATCGATTAGGTCGTTAATGCTTATCTGAGGTAATATTGATCGACGCTCAGGCCATAGCATCGGTCGATATTCGTTTCTTGTTCGCATACGAAAGCTGGAACAAGGACTTAGACATCTGATTAGTAATTGCATTGATAGATGGATTACTTATTATAATCGAGTTCTAGAATGAATCTATAAGCTATTAGCATCCTGAATTGTAGTTTTGAATCTCTTTATTGATAAATCCCTAGATCTAGCTATTTCTCCTTATTGCTTACAAACTCAACCAATCGAACAACTACCCTATTCACATTGCTTTTATTTACTGTTTTATAAACTATTTACCTAGCTTAACCTTGATTTCTATAGTCTATTGTGTGCCCCTGCTCTCTGTGGATTCGATCCCTAAGTACTACAATTTGACCTCTTTTGATGAGAGTAAAATCACTCCTTAGGGTAATTTGAGTGATATCAAATTTGGCGCCGTTGCCGGGGAGCAAGGATTCGCCATTAGACCTAATTAATAGGTTTAGTCTAGGTTTTATTTACTGTTATAGTTACTTACTGAAACTTTTTTCTTGTCTTTCATGTACATACATGCCTATCAGTACCAGAAGCAGCAACGAGGAATTACTTTTCATCTCAGATCCTACAAGATTTGAGTGTTCGATCCGCAAGGAAAAATGTTCCCTATCGATCGATAACAACACTAGTACATCGATCGATACTCGCCAACCACAGTCGACCGAGACACCGTCTTCATCGATCGATACTCGCCCACCCACATCGACTGAAGCTACCCTTCTGTCGAACGACATATCCCACCCAACATCGATCGATACTTCACCTCAAACATCGATCGATACTGAGCAGCGAGACATGGTTGCGATGATATCCCTTGTACGAGATGAGAATGAAGACCTGCATGACCAGGAAGGTCATCTGTGTAATGCAGCAGGTCAGAAGATAGATGGAGAAGGATCTGCAATCCTTGAGCCATATGCTACCACTAAGGATGCTAGAGTTTCTCGCAAGAGAACGCTAGCAGAATCGTTCAGGCCTGGAGAGTTATACACCAACATGTCTGATATCCGAGTACCTTTGGAAGTCCCAGAATTTCAAGTACACTCCAAACACTTCATTCATGTGAGTGAGCACCCTTATTATGGTCTGCCTCATGAAAATCCCCTGGACCATATTGAGACACTAGAAAATTATACGTCTGGAACCTAGAAGAATGAAGCAACAAAAGACTACATCATCTGCAAGTTCTTCAAATTTTCACTTTCTGGGGATGCTAAACGTTGGCTGAGGAGTCTACGACCAGGATCTCTCACTACATGGAATGATGTCAGGAATGCATTCATTAATGAATTCTTCGATGATGCAAGGGCTGAAGAGATAAGAGATAAGATTTGGACATTCTCTCAAGGACCTACA